AGTGCGCGCCGCGCCGGGGGTCGAGAGGTTCCTGGGCCGCAGGCCCCTGGGTTCGGCTCGCTTCTCTGTCTGGGCCCCAGCTGGAGGGCGGGCCCGGCGATTACTCACAATGTTTTTAGGGGATTTCGGGGCCCCCTCCCGCCGATCGGAGGAGTCTGATGATGTCACCCGGGCCGGGTCTGGAGCACAGCCAGGGTGCCGGGCTGCGGCCGCCCGCCCTGCGCAGGGAAGGCTCAGGCCTGCTCAGCCCGCAGAGGCCGAGCGGCTGAGCTCCACCTGGCTGCCTAATCGCTACAGGGGTCTGTGGTTGTCGGCGCAGAAGCACTTTTTAATTTCCCATCCACCCCAACCTAGATGCAGTGGGAGTGGGGTGGGGGGTGCCCGGACCTGACCACCTGGCCTTGCTTCGGGGAGCCTGCTACCCGCGAGGGGCGGCCGGAGCCCCCGCGGGCCGCCAGGCTCGGGTTTCAGGCGCCTCACACTGCCAGCCCTCGGGGGCGCATCTCCGGAGCCCCGTGGCCGTAACTGACGCCTGTCGTCTTAGAAGCTCCGGGACCCCCGGTGGCCTCTTGACCCGTAATGTCACGGCGCCGCCGCTCGTCTCCCTGGGGCCTCCTGTCAGGGACCAGAAGTCGGCCAAAGCGGTCCCACTAATTAGCTGTCATGTGACCCCTAAGCCGGGGTAAGGGCCCCGAGTGAAGCCCAGGGCAAGGGCCCCGAGTGAAGCCCAGGGCGTCGTTCGTGCGGGACCGGGGAGGGGGCGGAGGCTGGGGCACGCGCGCCCCGGGCCGGTTCCCCGTCGCGGAGCGAGGACGCTCCCGGCGGGCGGCGGAGTCTTCCCCAGAAGGGAAAACCTTATTTTCTATGACTTCGTTCTAAACTAGGGAATCATGTGGGAATTGGAAAAGACTGGAAATTCTGACTTGCTTTCTCAAGCTTTGAGAAAACAGGAAGCGAAAAGTGAAAACAGTTACCACCGCTCCCACTCACTTCAGTGTCTCACGTGGCTGGCCCCGGGTAGGAAAGTCAGCGCGTTTTCTGGGGAGGCCGACTTCAGATGGCAGAATAGGTTAATTATAGCCGTTGGTTAATGACACACAGTCATCACTGACCCTTGCTGATCCTCTTTAAAAGTTCAAATGTATTTATAATTTAAATCAGGAAATTGAATTCCCCTGTACCCACTGCGCGCCGGGATTTACCTCCGCACCCTGCCTCCCCCGCTTGCCCCGGCTTGACTCTTTTGGGGTTAAGAAAAAAAGTTTACTCACGTACACATGCCTACACACCATGTTGTTTGATTTTGCTTAGTTTTGAACTGTGAAAAGAGTATCATTATTTTTGGTCTTTGTTATTTTTTCCCCCCTACTCAGCATATTACTAAGGTTCATGCATTCCATAGTTTATTCGCTTTTTATGGCTGTATTTTTGTGTAAATACACCACAGATTATTTATTCATCCCAAGGACGGCCATTTGAGTTTCTAGTTTTTTGCTTTTGTAAGCAGTGTGATGAATGTCTCCTGTTGTTACACGTATACAGGAATTTTCTTGGGTATATACCTAAAAGTGATTTATTAGGGTATAGAATTTCCTTTTATGTGTTTTCAGAATAATGCCTTGGTTCTCTAGCATCCTCCAAAATTGATTTATATGCATTTAAAAAAATATATCTCAATGAATGCATGGGTTTCAACATATTTGATATGCTTTAATCTACTGAAGTTCAAATTGTTTCATCTTTGGCCAGTGGGAACCTTTTCAAGTTGGTTCTTTGGCCTTTTTTTTTTTTTTTTTT